GGTATTGAATAGAAGTGTTTGTAGAAAGCCTATTGGTCCATATTTCTTGATGCTTCTATATTGGAGCGGAGTCTTGAGGTGGGTAGAATATAGTTGTGCAATAATTGGCTGTTGATTGCTGGTGTTGACTTCTTGATGTGTAGTGCCTCGCAAACGTCAAGCCGCCTGCTATCGCTGTATCTATCGATGATTTCTGTGTTGTTTACTAGGATTTCTCTGGCGATGGTTTGGTTGTGGGAAGAGATTATATGTTCCTTAATGGAGCCCTGTTGCTTATGCATCGTTAAACGCCTAGAAAGAGATGTTGTTGTCTTGCCTATATACTGGGTTTTTTGGAGCTTACAGTCCCCAAGTGGGCATTTGAAGGCATAGACGACGTTAGTCTCTTTTAAAGCGTTCTGTTTTGTGTCTGGAGAGTTTCTCATGAGTAGGCTGGCCGTTTTTCTGGTTTTATAGTAAATCGTCAGTTGTATCCTCTGATTTTTGTCTGTAGGGATAACGTTTCTATTAACAATATCTTTCAGGACCCTTTCCTCCGTTTTATGAGCTGTGGAAAAGAAGTTCCTGTAAAATAGTCTAATAGGGGGTATAGGTGTTGTGTTAGTTGTCTCTTCAGAACCTCTGAAGAGACAACTAACACAACACCTATACCCCCTATTAGACTATTTTACAGGAACTTCTTTTCCACAGCTCATAAAACGGAGGAAAGGGTCCCGAAAGATATTGTTAATAGAAACGTTATCCCTACAGACAAAAATCAGAGGATACAACTGACGATTTACTATAAAACCAGAAAAACGGCCAGCCTACTCATGAGAAACTCTCCAGACACAAAACAGAACGCTTTAAAAGAGACTAACGTCGTCTATGCCTTCAAATGCCCACTTGGGGACTGTAAGCTCCAAAAAACCCAGTATATAGGCAAGACAACAACATCTCTTTCTAGGCGTTTAACGATGCATAAGCAACAGGGCTCCATTAAGGAACATATAATCTCTTCCCATAACCAAACCATCGCCAGAGAAATCCTAGTAAACAACACAGAAATCATCGATATATATATATATATATATATATATATATATATATATATATATATATATATATATATATATATATATATATATATATATATATATATATATGTCGTACCTAGTAGCCAGAACTCACTTCTCAGCCTACTATGCAAGGCGCGATTTGCCTAATAAGCCAAGTTTTCATGAATTAATTGTTTTTCGACAACCTAACCTACCTAACCTAACCTAACTTTTTCGGCTACCTAACCTAACCTAACCTATAAAGATAGGTTAGGTTAGGTTAGGTAGGGTTGGTTAGGTTCGGTCATATATCTACGTTAATTTTAACTCCAATAAAAACAAATTGACCTCATACATAATGAAATGGGTAGCTTTATCACTTCATAAGGAAAAAATTAGAAAAAATATATTAATTCTGGAAAATTTGGCTTATTAGGCAAATCGGGCCTTGCATAGTTGGCTGAGAAGTGCGTTCTGGCTATTAGGTACGACATATATATATATATATATATATATATATATATATATATATATATATATATATATATATATATATATATATATATATATATATATATATATATATATACCTCTACTGCTACGTAGGAGCCATCAGCTGCGAGGAAACCTGCCTAAGCATTTCCTTCCAGCCTGGAAATCAAACTTGGTATCCCAGACTGTAAGTGGAGAACGAAGCCAACTGTACTAGGTGACCCTATGTGCTCTGTCATAGCAGAGGATGGGCACACGGGGTGTATAATGAATGAGGTGAACACCCCGCGGGTGTCTACACTGACTCACCGCTCTCGCGCGCCAAATGAATACTTTCACAAGTACTGATTTAAATGTTTGAGAAGAGAGGTAACCAGCAATATACGAGTGTCCTTTTTTTATAACTCAAGCGATGAATATTGAATTTGTGGCTGTATAATACAGGGCACCAGTGTATAGTTATACACAGAGATGTGTCACGCTCCACGGTGTATACACACACACACAGTTTACTGTAGTCGAGGGCTAAAGTATATTTGCTAATTGCTCGGTAAACTAATTTCACGGTTAATGATCCTTCAGAGGTTGACAGACATTAAACCTAACACCAAGCCAACCATTAATTCTATTAGTATTCTTAGCAGTTCAGTTACGAGACTATTGGTGGCGTCCTTGCAGAAAGTGGCGGACCATCTGGGTTATAATGAATATTGGGGCGTGCGGGTCGCTACACGCAACAGCTTGAGGGATCACAAGACAAGCTCGGCCTCCGTGCCCAGCTTGGGGAGTAGAAGAGCTCTGGGAACACTGTAGGTAACGTCATTGTCAAGTTTAACGACACATGTATGATGATGACACAATACACGTGTATGATGACACAATACACCTGTAAGATGACAATACACGTGTATGATGACACAATACACCTGTAAGATGACAATACACGTGTATGATGACACAATACACGTGTATGATGACACAATACACGTGTATGATGACACAATACACGTGTATGATGACACAATACACGTGTATGATGACACAATACACGTGTAGAATGACACAATACACGTGTATGATGACACAATACACGTGTAGGATGACACAATACACGTGTAAGATGACACAATACACGTGTATGATGACACAATACACGTGTAGGATGACACAATACACGTGTAGGATGACACAATACACGTGTAGAATGACACAATACACGTGTAGGATGACAATACACGTGTAGGATGACACAATACACGTGTAGAATGACAATACACGTGTAGGATGACACAATACACGTGTAGGATGACACAATACACGTGTAGGATGACAATACACGTGTAGGATGACACAATACACGTGTAGAATGACAATACACGTGTAGGATGACACAATACACCTGTAAGACAACATAATACACCTGTAAGACGACACAATACACCTGTAAGACAACATAATACACCTGTAAGACGACACAATACACCTGTAAGACAACATAATACACCTGTAAGACGACACAATACACCTGTAAGACAACATAATACACCTGTAACATGACACAATACACCTGTAAGACAACATAATACACCTGTAACATGACACAATACACCTGTAAGACGACACAATACACGTGTAAGATGACACAATACACCTGTAAGATGACACAATACACCTATAAGATGACACAATGCACCTGTAAGATGACACAATACACCTGTAAGACAACATAATACACCTGTAAGACGACACAATACACCTGTAAGACGACACAATACACCTGTAACATGACACAATACACCTGTAAGATGACACAATGCACGTGTCAGGCGACACAAGAGCGTGGCCGCGTGGTGAGTGAGAGTTGGGTTGGTCACTGTGATATCCTCAACAACACTCCCTCACTCCATACTCTAATTTTTACAAATCAACTCACAAACTATAGTCATTGAAAACACTCAAAAAGTTGGACATACTCGAGAACATTACCGTCCACGGAGAACATTATCTCCATGCTTGAAATGTTCGGGGAAAGGCTTTGAGAAAATGTTATTAAACAGAATAAATAAGTACATCGAACATCACTAAGTATATAGAGAGACAATGTGGTGTTAGCTACCAGCCATCAACCCAACATGGCAAGGCATGACATCTGGGGCTCTTGAAACTATCTGAAAACAAAATCCGACAGCACTCGATCCCACCAGAGATGTCGAGAAGGCTTTTGATAAGTCTTCGGTTGGACGGACTAATGTTTATATTGAGCACTGTACTACTACACAATTTTTACTCCTTAGATTACTAAATATTTCTCTAAACGAATAAGAAAATAAAACCATCACTAACCTACACCGCGGAGTTGTTCACTCCTACAACAGGTGTGTCCTTCACTCCTACAACAGGTGTAGTGTCCTTCACTCCTACAACAGGTGTGTCCTTCACTCCTACAACAGGTGTGTCCTTCACTCCTACAACAGGTGTGTCCTTCACTCCTACAACAGGTGTAGTGTCCTTCACTCCTACAGCAGGTGTCCCTCAAGGAGCGTGTCTCAGCACAATTCTGCTGAACATCCTCGTGACTGACCTCTCCCAACACACACTAACATCCAAAGCAACAAGGAAGGACCGTGGAAGATACGCGCAAGTTACCGGTAAAACTAACGAAGCACCAGTTTGTATAGCGAGGTGGGAAAGAAAATGGAGGATCACAACCAATCCTGAGAAAATATGTTTCAGTTATTGGATGTTGCACCACAATCGATCGAAAACAAATGAGATATGAGCGTGCTAAGGTGCCAACATCACCACCCGAGGAGGCCTGGTCGAGGACCGGGCCGCGGGGACGCTAAGCCCCGGAATCATCTCAAAATAACCCACATCAATATCCTTGACAATGATGACCAGACCACACACTAGAAGGTGAAGGGACGACGACGTTTCGGTCCGTCCTGGACTATTCTCAAGTCGGTTGTGACTCAAGTCAAGTCATTCTCACAATCGACTTGAGAAAGGTGCAGGACGGACCGAAACGTCGTCGTCCCTTCACCTTCTAATGTGTGATCTGGTCATCAAACTTCAGCCACGTTATTGTGACTCATCGCCTGCCTTGACTATGAGTTATCCAGATGGCACAACCTCACCAATCATATCCATTCCAAGATAAATGTTACAAATGCAAATAGGTTTTGCTCTGCTTCACCACAGATTCAACTGCATCTGTATAAGGTAATGACGGGGCCACTTCTAGAATAGTATACCCTCGCCCCGCACCACAGCGACGCCCTCTGCTTTGTGACAAAAGTTACATAAAATAACAAGGTGTGAATGGAGCACCTACACATTACAGTTAAAAAAGGAACCTAATCAACAAATACCTCGGCTTTTATTGAAACTTCTGTATAAAATAATAACAATGCAAGAAGTGTAGGTCCTAGACCTTGATGACCACGTTTTTCAACACCTCTAGCACCGCGCATGGAGGACCAGCTCCACCACACGGAGCGTGGAGGACCAGCTCCACCACACGGAGCGTGGAGGACCAGCGCCACCACACGGAGCGTGGAGGACCAGCTCCACCACACGGAGCGTGGAGGACCAGCTCCACCACACGGAGCGTGGAGGACCAGCTCCACCACACGGAGCGTGGAGGACCAGCTCCACCACACGGAGCGTGGAGGACCAGCTCCACCACACGGAGCGTGGAGGACCAGCTCCACCACACGGAGCGTGGAGGACCAGCTCCACCACACGGAGCGTGGAGGACCAGCTCCACCACACGGAGCGTGGAGGACCAGCTCCACCACACGGAGCCAGTAACGCCTCACAAGACATGTTTACACAGTACCCTCAACGTACCCTCGGATATTAACTTACGAGAGGACCCAAGATGCCTGGAACTGCTCCTCAACCATTATGTCGTAACTCTGCGCTTACTGAAAGTATTCACTCACGAGAGACGTCATCCCACCTATCAACAAGCACTCGACTAGTAATAAATCTTACATAATTAACTCAAGCAGCAAGCAGACTTCAGCAGTTTAATATGATTGAAGCAGTTGTTGTTGTTCTTGGTTTAGATTCAGCTACTCGGAACAAAAGTTCCAAGTAGCACGGGCTATGGTGAGCCCGTACTGGACCTTATTGAAGCAACAATTTGCGGTCTTTAAGTGATAATTATAGTAAAAGAACTTGGTCAAGCTTCTCCCTCCATGGCCACACCATCAACTAGCCGCTCAACTAACAAATTAAGCCACAACTCTCACTCAACACCATATAACTCCATGACAAACCAAAACTAGTCAGACCACTTTCTATCCCCTCGTCAACCATCATTTTATCAATTTCTATCCTGGCTTGCCAACCCTTCTTGTCACCTCAACTCTACTCAATCTATGTATTCATATACTTTTATTCCTTATCGAGTCCAGCCTTTCCCAGTCCTTCCTTCTCATAACGCTATCCTGCATCTACTGTTTCCTGATGAGACAGCTTAATATATTTGTGTGTGGGGTAAAAGTGGCCCTCACTTCACCTCATCCTACTTGGTGAATGTAGTGTACTCCCAGCACTATGTATACAGCCACAGCCCCGCTCCTGTGCCAGGTAAGTCCATCACGGGCTCACCATAGCCCGTGCTGCCTACAACTTTTGGTTCCCAGTAGCTGAATCTAGAACAACATCTGCTGATGTATACACTCACTCCCTCGTAGCTACCGAGGAGAGCTTCGAGGGAACGTCTCCCTCTCTGACACACGTCAGGCAAAATAAAACTGTAAAATGAACGTTGTTGAGTTATGTCCTTCCCAAGTAAAGAGCAAAAGAATTATATATGTATGCTATAAGTGAGAATGTTCCTCTGTCTGTCCAAAATTGTAGGCCAGATGTTTGGGGCTAGACTCACCCAAATTTATAAGGGTAATCTTATATAGATTATATATATATATATATATATATATATATATATATATATATATATATATATATATATATATATATATATGCAAACAAGCCTGAATGGTCCCCAGGACTATATACAACTGAAAACTCACACCCCAGAAGTGACTCGGACCCATACGGCCTTTGTCCGGTCGTGATGGTCAAGCGGATTAAGGCGTCCCTGTACATATCAGTTGCGTTGCTCCTGGCAGTATGGGTTCGAGTCACTTCTGGGGTGTGAGTTTTCAGTTGTATATAGTCCTGGGGACCATTCAGGTTTGTTTGCATTTGTGTTCCTCTCGTGTTGCCCCAAAGAATGAGGTGATTTGATAAAATGCTATGCCCAAGATTACTATCCGAGTGCCGGCAGGGAATTGGTTCAAATAGCTTAGGCTATCACTTCCTTTTGTCCGGTCGTGATGGTCAAGCAGATTAAGGCGTCCCTGTACATATCAGTTGCGTTGCTCCTGGCAGTATGGGTTCGAGTCACTTCTGGGGTGTGAGTTTTCAGTTGTATATAGTCCTGGGGACCATTCAGGTTTGTTTGCATTTGTGTTCCTCTCGTGTTGCCCCAAAGAATGAGGTGATTTGATAAAATGCTATGCCCAAGATTACTATCCGAGTGCCGGCAGGGAATTGGTTCAAATAGCTTAGGCTATCACTTCCTTTTGTCCGGTCGTGATGGTCAAGCAGATTAAGGCGTCCCTGTACATATCAGTTGCGTTGCTCCTGGCAGTATGGGTTCGAGTCACTTCTGGGGTGTGAGTTTTCAGTTGTATATAGTCCTGGGGACCATTCAGGCTTGTTTGCATTTGTGTTCCTCACGTGTTGCCCCAAAGAATGAGGTGATTTGATAAAATGCTATGCCCAAGATTACTATCCGAGTGCCGGCGGGGAAGTGGTTCAAATAGCTTAGGCTATCACTTCCTTTTGTCCGGTCGTGATGGTCAAGCGGATTAAGGCGTCCCTGTCCATACCAGTTGCGTTGCTCCTGGCAGTATGGGTTCGAGTCACTTCTGGGGTGTGAGTTTTCAGTTATATATATATATATATATATATATATATATATATATATATATATATATATATATATATATATATATATATATATATATATATATATATATATATATATATATATGCAATTGACGATCACAAAACACTGATCATTTTATGCGGAAAATCCACAGAGAAATATGAAATGAGGTGAACGTTTCGGCTTTGTTAAAGCCTTTGTCAACACCAGACTGACTAAGGAAAAGGGAGAAGGGGGAGGATATATAGGCCGACACCTGACCAACCCATCCCTAGGGTTGGAATAATAATATATATATATATAATAATATATATATATAATAATATATATATATATATATATATATATATATATATATATATATATATATATATATATATATATATATATATATATATATATATATATATATATATATATATATATATATATATATATATATATATATATATATATATATATATATATATATATATATATATATATATATATATTATATAGGTATAAGGTCTTGGTATAGGACGGACATAGGCTGGTCAGGGTAGGCCTTCGTTAAATGGTTTAAGAAATATAGCATGTAACCCAACACCCACGAGCGAGTTTCACTGTCTGAAATGAGTCCAGGATAAAATCTGGAATGTGATTTCCGTAGGGTGTGAAGCTTACCTGTGCAATTTGCAAAACTAAATGAAGATGTGCCTAATACATTAATAATAATTGCAAAACTATATTCTTCCAAACAATCAGGTCTGATAGGAAAAAAATTATTGACCCCCAACGACTTGAAAGCACCAGTATAAAAAACTTTGATATGTTCAGATCTGAAACCTATATCTATGGGCAGCACAAAACGTGGACCAGACTGTGCGACACAGTGGTTGCCAGGATCAGGTTGGGTTACCGTTACCTGTGGCAGGTGGCTACAGGTGACGGATCTCCTAATCCTGAGCACTCCAGGTGCAAACTCTGTGAGCAGGAACTACGGCATGATCTCCCGCACTACATCACTGAATGCCCAGTTATTAGACCATTCAGACCCGTTGGCATGAAGTACCTGGAGCTTTGCAATTACTTTATTCACTCTCGTATTCTTGAAGATATCCTCATAATGCACCCAAATTTGCCAGTGCAGGCTACTGAACATATGGCCCTGTATGACTAACCATCCTGCGAGATGGGGACTTTTAGTACCACTGCTGCCTTATTCACTCTTGTGTTGATGATATCCTCATAATGCTCCCAGAGTCTGCCAGTGCAGACTACTGATCACGTGCCTCTGTATGACTAACCATCCTGGGTGATGGGGATTATTAGCATCACGTAGCTAGCTTTGTGACACACTGTACTCCTCTTCACATAGTCTAGTGCAGCTGCACAAATGCAAATGTACCTAAATGTGTTAATAATAAAAAAATTCTTAATAATATATTTTCTAAGAGAAGAGGCAGTGGAGGGAGAGAGGGGAGGGGCGAAGTGCCTTCTTAATAATACATTTCTGACAGAAAGGGAGAGGAAGGGTCTTAGGGAAGGGGAGCGGCAGGAAGCAAGGAAGAGGAAGGGACGATGGGGACCAAGAGGATGGGGACGAAGGGGTCAAGCGGGAGATGGGAGAAGAGAGGAAGAATAGGGAGTGGGAGTAGACACAGCCTATTCCAGGTACTGCCAGGTACCCCCCCCCCCTCTTAGTACACACACAAGTCACAATAGCGTGATATATCAAATAAACAAATCCACAAGGGCCTTCTGGCCGTTCTTAAGGCGCTTCTGGGAACATCCCGGACGTAGGTTCGAACCCTCATCACGGCCCTTCCTGGATTTGTTCACCCCCTTAGTATATTTATATAAGAAAGTCTGTCTTTGTGTAGGATGCCAGACAGTTGTGGTTGGCCTCACGTAACTCTCCATGGTGACTTGTGCTTGTGTGGTGTCATAGGGTGGTTGGGGTCGGCCCTCGTCGACGACCCTTACAGCACGATTGACTCCTGCTGCAACAAATCAATTAGTCCTGAAATTTGGGTTTGATTGTCCATAGAGTGTTTTTCAACTGAATTCTCACTTGTTATCGACGTTGAGTCAACGTCGATAAAGTTGATTCAAAGTCGATAGCACTGACTCAAAGTTTATAACGTTGAAGCACTGCACCATCAGTTGCAGTGCTTCTAGCAGTATGGGTTCGAGTCACTTCTGCGGTGCGAGTTTTCAGTTATATATATATATATATATATATATATATATATATATATATATATATATATATATATATATATATATATATATATATATATATATATATATATATATATATATATATATATATATATATATATATATATATATATATATATATATATATATATATATATATATATATATATATATATATATATATATATATATATATATATATATATGAACTTACCTTCCCGGGCTACCTCTTGAGGACAGAAGACTCAGGTGATCTACATCGTGAGTCATATAGTTCTTCCGTGTTCTAGCGGCGGCCACGGGGATGGCAAGTTCCATTAGGTAGCAGTTAGTACCCTTGTGATCCTTATATATGTAGATCCCATATATATGTAGATTCCATATATATATGGAGAGAGAGAGAGAATCCTCATCATGGGTGAGAGAGAGAGAGAGAGAGAGAATCCTCATCACGGGTGAGAGAGAGAGAGAGAGACACGGGTGAGAGAGAGAGAGAGAGAGAGAGAGAGAGAGAGAGAGAGAGAGAGAGAGAGAGAGAGAGAGAGAGAGAGAGAGAGAGAGAGAGAGAGAGAGAGAGAGAGAGAGAGAGAGAGAGAGAGAGAGAGAGAGAGAGAGAGAGAGAGAGAGAGAGAGAGAGAGA